GGGGGATGGGGGCCTGATTTGGAGGCCAGGGGAAAGGGTTTTGGGCAAAAGGGGGGTTGGAGAAAAACGAGTGGGGGGCCAGGGGAGGTTTGGCAAAAGAAATTTGGAGGACATTGAGGGGAGGGCCATGGGGGGGTTTGGCAGAGGGGGGTGGGGGAAGCTAAATGGGGGCCAGGGGAGGGTTTGGCAAGAGGGGTGGAGGACACGAGTAGGCCGGTGAGGGTTGGCAGAAGGGGTGGCAGATCAGAACGGTAGAAAAGGTTTGAATGACTTTGGCAGCAACATTCATGAGACTGAAGAAGGGATAGCCTGCATGATGTCGGGCCAATGAGGAGGGAGTCATACAAATAGTCATGGCGAGATATAACCAGGGAAGTAATAAGTTCTTATGGGGTTTTCCACGGTTAGAGGAACGGCGTATTTTGGATATTTGCTGGATGTGAAGTCTGATAAGATTTGGACAGCGAATGGATTGGGAGTGAAAGGATGCTTGAGTGGTGTGACTTCAGCGCAATCCTAGTATCGATACAGCACATATTGTAGTCGCAATCTGTACTTGGCTGATTATGCTGCTGTTCTGATGGACACCATTTTTTTGTAAGTGTGTTTTAGTAATTATATAAAGCAAACATTTTTAAGAGGTACTGCACTAAACACATGAGCATCTGTTTTACTATATTCTGAGTGGCCATTCCCAATACCCCTGTGTATTAGGATGGGAATATGATATGAAGTGGATCTACGACATGAGTCTCTCTGCAGAGTATATGCCTCCAGGATTAACCACTCAGACCGTCCGCCTGCTGTTTAATAAACGGCAGTGCGGTGGCACTCCAGGGCGGGTTGCCATTCATAAACAGCAACCCGCCTTTCTTTAGGCTGTGCGCGCTCCCTGGGAGCACGCGTCAGCACCGGCGATCTCCGTGCCCTCTGTGTCCTCCCCGGACACCGATCAGTCTGACAGGACCTCTTGTACGAGGTCCCAGATCAATGTGATCAACTGCGATTGGCCAATCAATGAAACACATGCAAAGTAGTAAAGCAAGATGTCATTTGTGACATCATTGCTTCTCTACTACGTGTGTAATCTGTGAATGATCAACAGAGGTCACATGGTACTCGGACGTATTCAACAACAGCCTTGTACCATGTGACATGCTGTGAAACCAATCACCACCCCAACAAGTCTAGTACAGTGTCCACACATGGGTGACAAGTAATGTAAAAAAAAAAAACATAAATTAAATAATATAAAAAAATAAACATAAATAAAAAGTAAAAAAAAAAATGTTCTAAAAAATATAAGTTTTGCGCGTCTATAAACTAATTTGGCTTATTCTTTTTTTTTTAACTAAAAACATATAAATGGAATACATTTTGGTTAACGATTTTATGAAGAAAGATTATTTATTTGCAACATTTTATAAGACAAAAATCTCACTTTTTTTCAAAATTTTTGGACTTTTTCATTTACATACCACCAAAAAAAAAAAACAAATCCCAGTGGTGAATAAATACCACCAAAATAAAGCTTTATCTGTCTCAAAAAAAATGGGTTTAAACATTCATACCGGTACAGTGTTGCGATGTACCGTGCAATTGTCATTTAAAGTGTGATAGCGCTGAAAAGCTGAAAATTGCCACCTGGTCAGGAAGGAGGTAAAAGTGTTCGACTGGAAGGGGGGGGGGGGAGTGTCCGGACTGGAGAGGGGGTAGGGGTGCAAGTAAAAGTGTCCAGACTTCCGGACTGGAAGGGGGGTTTGTGAGGTGTGAAAGTGTCCAGACTGGAAGGGGGTGAAAGTGTGTCCGGACTGGAAGGGGGGGAAAGTGTCACAGACTGGAAAGGGGGGGAAAGTGTCCAGACTGAAGAGGGGGGTGAAAGTGTCCGGACTGGAAGGGGGTGACAAAGTGTCCCGAGACCACACTGGAAAGGGGGTGAACGTGTCTCCGACTGGAAGGGGTGAAAGTGTCACCGACTGGAAGGGGGGCGGGAAAAAGCGTCCGGACTGAAAGGGGGGGAAAAAAAGCGTCCGGACTGGAAGGGGGGTTGAAAGTGTCCGGACTGTAAGGGGGGGAAAAGTGTCCCGGGACTGGAAGGGGGGTGGGAAAGTGTCCCAGAACTGGAAGGGGGAGTGAAACAAGTTGTCCAGACTGGAAGGGGGGTGAGCTTGTCCAGACTGGAAGGGGGGGAAAGTGTCCGGACTGGAAGGAGGGGAAAGTGTCCGGACTGGAAGGGGGTGAAAGTGTCCGTCGGACTGGAAGGGGGTGAAAGTGTCCGGACTGGAAGGGGGGATATGTGTCTCGGACCTGGAAGGGGGTGAAAAGTGCTAAGACTTCCAGAACTGGAAGGGGGGGGAGTGTCCAGACTGGAAGGGGGGGGAAAGTGGTCCAGACTTGTACTGGAAGGGGGGGGGGGAAAGGTCCGGACTGGAAGGGGGTGAAAGTGTCCAGGACTGGAAGGGGTGAAAGTGTCCCGGAACTGGAAGGGGTGAAAGTGTCCGGACTGGAAGGGGGTGAAAGCGTCCGGACTGGAGAAGGGGGGGAAAGCGTACCGGACTGGAAGGGGGTGAAAGCGTCCGGCCACTGGAAGGGGGTGAAAGTGTCCGGGACCTGGAAGGGGGGGAAAGTGTCCGGACTGGAAGGGGGGGAAAGTGTCCGGACTGGAAGGGGGTGAAAGTGTCCGAACTGGAGTGGGTTGAATGTGGGCCCGGACATGGAAGGGGGGAAAAGTGTCCGGACTGGAAGGGGGGGAAAGTGTCCGGACAGGAAGGGGGGTAAAGGAAATCGTTTTTGTCCAAGCTGTGTTTCAACTGTCTGCAGATCGTCAGTCCCAGAGCAAAAAGCGCTTATGATGGTTTATAATACAATCAGCATATTGCTCTGGTGAGTTTATTCAGTCTATTTGGTGGTGGATTCACTTGGTGGATTTCGTTAAATTTTGTTTATCTTCACTACAATAATTTTTAGGGAATTTATCTGATTTTTTCAACTTTGTTATGATATGTTTTGGGATTAGTATGTTTTATTTTTTTCACGGACGACATTTTTATGTTTATATTTGTTACTAGCGCAGTGTAAAGGACCGCACCGGCGGTACCTCTAGCACTCCACGGTCAGTGTGCTTCCAGAGTGCGGAATCTAAGTCCCGGAGCACTTGTTTCACCAGGGCCCCTGATGGTGGGGATGGACTTGGAGCGCACCGAGACCAGGTCGCAACTACTGGGCACACTTACCAATGGTAGAGGCGTCTGCCAAGGGCTCCCGCAGAGTAAGAGCCTGATATGAGGAGGTCGGGCAATCCCGACGGGATGGATGGACAGCTCTGAGCAGGTGCAGGGTCAAACGAGCCGAGTCGGGGAGCCGTGGGGTCTGCGAGGTACAAAACAGCGGGCAGAGAATAGTCGGGTCACACGCCAGGTCAGCAACAGTAGATCAGAACCAACAGGGGGCATCCAGGGGAGAGGTCAGGCAAGCCAAGGGTCAGGGCAGGAGAGTACAGCAATGTCAGGAGCAATCCGGTCAGCAACTTATCAGAACACAGGTACACACAGATCAGGGAACAGGAAAGACCAAACGGCAACCAGTGACAGCTCAGCGGGATTTAAATATTGCGCCCTGCGCTGTCATTGGTGCCAGGCACACGCCCGTGGACCCTAGTGCGCATGCGTGAGTTCGTGGCCGCGGCCGGCCTGGACCCAGTGCCTGTATCCCCGTGCAGGGTGGCGCACTGCACCTGCGCCGGGACCAGCGCCGCGGCGATCCCTGACACGCAGTCTGTTATTTTTATATTTGAAATAAATTAGCAGTAAATTTAGAAATAAGGGTTAGAATTAGAATTGAGGATAGTGTTAAGGTCAGAGTCAGTGCTTGAGTTATTGTTAGGGTTGGCATTAGAATTCGAGTTAACATTGAGGTTAGTGTTAGTGTTGGGTTATGTTGAGTAGGGGTTAGCATTAGCGTTAGGATTAGTATTAGATTTTGATTCAGAGTTAGAGGCGAGGTTATAGTTATGGGTAGCATTAGTGTTAGGGTTAGTGTTGGGTTATGGTTAGAGTTAGGGGCGAGGTTATTGTCAGGAATGGAGATTTTTTATTATGTATTGATGTCATACATATCCATCAGACTTATGTATAAAAAGTATAAATATAACTAAATAAATACAAAACTCAACAGAAAGGAAACTAAAATGTCCCAACAGTCCCTGGGGAAAAAAAAAAAAACTCAAACATAGCCTGAACGGCTCATAAATAAAAGTCCATAACCTGAAAGGAAAAAACGGAAACTATATACAATATTTACAGTACAAGGCCTTTATGGCCGAGACCACATGACTAAGAGCCTTTATGGCTCAGACAAAAACATAAACCATATGCAATTTCCATATTCAAACCTGCTGCTTACGGCCTATATGGCCTAAACTATATACAAAGGACCTAACCATACCATTATATACACCACAGGGGAGGGCTAAGGAACCCGCAGATCTTCCACGTCTGACCCCTACAACCTACCATGCAAAAGGCTACCAAAAAGATCCGAACGCAAAAATCTAGGGAGTGCTGAAGGCAGAAACTAGGGACAGATCCCACCACCCCCCCGAGATCAACAGACCGCAGCAACAGGCTTGATGTTCCTCCACGCCTCCATCCAAGCTCTGCGTCGCAGCCTGTCTTTCTCAAGACCCCGAATTTTCCCCACCTCACCAAGGATCTCACTCGCCACCACCTGAACAGGGAGGACCTTCTGCCTAATGGAGACCTGACACCGTGCCATCCAAGTGTGATAACGGACAACTAAGCTGACTAAAAACAGGGTATCCAAATTAAAACCCATGCGACTCTCGAATGCTCCGTACACCCACTCCGCATATGACATGCGATGGAGGAAAGGAACACCCAGAGCCCCTCCCACCTGTTTATACACCTCTACGTTAAAGGGGCACTGAAGCAAGAAGTGGTCCATAGTCTCCACTTCACCCCCACACTCCGACCTCGGACAACCACGGTCATCCGCAGGACGGTACTTCAGGTTACCCCTCACGTAGAGCCTGCCATGGAAGGCGAGCCAGGCCTGGTCCCGCAACTTCAGGGGGATCCGCTCCAGATTTATCAACCGCAAACCCTCCCTCATAACATGGCCTGGGCAATCTCTCAAGGCCAGCGGTGCATGGAAAGCAGATGCCACAATCCTCTCACTCAGGAGCCTCCTGGGGGAGGGACCGGACCTCCTCCGCAGTCACATGCCACCGCCGGAGTAACTTCAGGCACGGGGCCACATAAGCCGGGAGCTTACCATGCTTGACCCGCAGGCTTCTCACTGGCCCGCCACTCTCCCAACTGTGCAGAAAGGGTCCAAACCAGATCCGGAACAGTCCTACCCATGCAGGCGGTCTCTCTGCCAGCATGTTACCAAAGTTATGTTTCAAGAACATCAGAGAGAAAAAGACCACTGGGTTGACCATACCTAGGCCACCCTCCCGCCTGGATGAGTAAGTCACGTCCCTCTTGACGAGGTTCAGCCGATTCCCCCATAACATCTGGAAGAAACAGCTATAGATCCTCGTATAGAGCGATTCTGGCAAGAGGCAAACGAAGCTGACGTACAAAAAGACTGGGAGCAGGAAAGTCTTGATCAAATCAACCCTTTCCCTCAAGGAGAGCCGCCACCCCCTTCCAGCATCTCACTTTGACCTCGGCATCCGACAGCTTGGATTCCCATTTTGCTTGCTGTAATCAGCAGAGCCAAATTGATGCCCAACACTTTGATGTTCGGCTGAGGCACCCGGGAAGGTGTCCGGGAGTGAGAAGCTCTCACCCTCCCTACCCATCCAGAAAACTTCACATTTGTCCTGATTGACCTTGGAACCTGATGCCTATCGGCATACTGATCCATTACTGAAACCACCTCCTGCGCCTCCTCCGGTCCAGAAATGAAAACAGAAACGTCATCAGCATAAGCCACAACTCTCAAAGGCGGATCTCCAGTGGCACCCACCAGCACCCCACTCACCGCCCCCGCCATCTAGCCTCCTGTAGAAGGGGTCGATGGCAAAGGCATAGAGCAAGGGACTCAGCGGGCACCCCTGGCGCACCCTCAGATCCAACCTCAAAGGGCTGCCCAACCCAACCATTCACCAACATGAAGCTCTCCGCCCCTTGATACAATGTCTTCAACCAGCCGATGAACCTCCCCTCCAAACCATACCGGTCCAGGAGATGCCAGAGGTACTTGTGATCAACTCGATCAAAGGCCTTTGCCTGATCCACCGCCAGCAAGTACTTTCCCCATCCTTCAGCCTTACATCGCTCCAGAGCCTCCCGGACAGCTAACACCGCTGTAAAGGTACTCCTGCCCTGGACCGAGCAATGCTGCTGACGAGAAAGCAAACTGTCTGCCACTGACGACAAGCGCCAGAACAAAGATCTTCGCCAGAACCTTTCTATCGACATTGAGGAGGCTGATGGGGCGCCAGTTCTCAATAGCCGAAGGATCTTTACCCTTGACAGGAGAATAACTGCAGACTGTCTCATGGAAGGAGGGAGAGATCCCTCATCCAGACAGCTGTTATACACTTCCGCGAGACGAGGTGCCAGGCGGGATTTAAAAGCCTTAAAAATTCGGCAGTCAGACCGTCTGGCCCAGGAGTCTTTTTAATGGCCAGACTATCAATCGCTCTGGACACCTCTTCTGCAGTAATCTCCCCAGTCAAACTCGCCAGAGGGACATCACTGTCCAGACCAGGCGTGTATGGATTCCAAAAAGCTCGACATCCCTGTCCGGTCAAGGTGTTTCTTCTCACTCAGTAAATCCGCATAAAAGGACCTGGAGACCTCCAGAATCCCTGACCTGGATTTAGTCAGGGACCCTGTACTATCCCTCAGAGCAGAGATTGTCTTAACTGCTGCACACTCTGTTTGCAATTCTGGAAAGGGTCAGGCGAGTGGTATTTCCCATAATCCCTCTCCAGAACCAAAGAGCACGCCGATCATACTGGAGTTTCTTAAGGAGAAGCTTCACCTCCGAGATTGCCCCCGAATCTCCACCGCTAGAAACAAGGCGGTCGAGCTTCCTCCGCAACCGCTGGTAGGCGTTATACTGTTTAAACTGCCGTCTCTTACCAACGGCCTTGAAAAACCTGCTGATCCGCACTTTGTGAGCTCCCACCACTCAGACTTACTGCCGCAGAATCCAGCACCGTCTCCTGCGCCTGAAAGAACTCCTCGAAAGATCGTCTCACCTCCTCGTCCTCCAGCAGAGATGAATTCATCCTCCAGATGCCCTTTCCTCTCAGCGGCGTGTCTGAAATATTCAAGGTGACAGATAGCATAAGGTGATCGGAAAACTCCACCGCCTGACACTCAGGTGCCGAGAAGGCAGAGTTCTCCCTCAAAAAAAACCTGTCTATCCTACTCTGGTTATTACCTCTCCCAAAGGTGAAACCCGTGCCGTCTGGGACACTTTGAATCCAAGCGTCAACCAGACCTGCCTCCCTGACTATAGCATTTAGAAAATTGCTATCATATCCCAGCCCGTCAGTGAAGCCTCTCCTGTCCTTGGGCCTAGTAATGGTGTTAAAATCACCTCCAAAGACTACCAGCCGGGATGTAAAGAGGTAAGGTTTAATCCTCGCAAAGAGGTTCTTCCTGTCCCACTTGGACTGTGGGCCATAGATATTAATGAGACGGAGCTCATGCCCCCTTACGAGAACATCCAGAATCAGACATCTTCCGATCTCTACCTCAATTATCCGCCGACACGTTACCA